CTCGACGGGGCGCTGCGGCAGGAGTTCAGCGTCTTCTCCACGCGCGAGCGGCTCCTGGAGACGCTGCGCGCTGCCGGCCCCCACGGCGACCTGGTGCGCGAGGAGCTGGCCATGGTGCAGGGCGCGCTGGAGCTGCGCACCAAGGTGGTGGAGGACGTGCTCACGCCGCTCGCTGACTGCTTCATGCTGCGCGCCGATGCTGTGCTCGACTTTGCCACCGTCTCGGAGATCCTCCGCTCCGGCTACACCCGCATCCCCGTCTATGAGGGCGACCGGCGCGACAACATCGTGGACCTACTCTTCGTCAAGGACCTGGCTTTCGTGGACCCCGATGACTGCACGCCCCTGCAGACTGTCACACGCTTCTACCGCCGCCCGCTCCACTGCGTTTTCAACGACACACGCCTCGACACGCTGCTCGAGGAGTTCAAGAAGGGTGAGGTCGTCAGGGCTCCCCCCGCGCTCCCCCCAGGCAGCCCCACTCTGCTGCCTGCCCCGTGTGGCCTCCTGGCAGGTCCTGGGGAGCCTGGGGTCCAGGCCCTGCCTGCATGTGCTGGTGTGGTCGTGTTGTTGGTGTAGTTGGGACAGCCCATGGGTGGGTGGAGAGTCTTGGCGCCAGAAACTCCTGGGACATGGTGGCACCTTCAGCCCTGGAGGTCGCTGGCTCATCAGAGCAGGCAGTCCGAGGCCACTATGGGCCACTATGTGCAGGCCCGGGAGCCACTGCTCAGCTGCATGCCACGGCAGGGGTTACAGCAAGAGCCTGCATCTCTGTCCTTGCCTCTCATGTTTTCAGACCAGAGACAGCTCTGGAAAAGGTTTGTATATAAGTGATTTAAAGGAAGGGGAAAAGCCTAAATCCTTAGATATAGCTGTTCTTTCCTTGCAGTTCTTGCAGTGCTCATAGCGCAGCAGCTGCCAGCAGCCCCGGAGAGGCCGAGTGCAGTATTTCATGAAGCTTACCTTGAGAATATGCAGCATTTGCCTTTCCATACTGGGAACTGTGAGGCATGTTCCTGTGTGCCATCCAGTACATCACACCATGGTGGCTGAGGCTGTAAGAAATGGCTGCACAGTGACATCTTGCATTATGTAATGATAGAGGAGGATAACACAGAGGCTCCTTTGCTGCCAGTGGCCTCTCTGCTGCAAGCAGAGCTGATCATGTGAGAGAAGCCAAACGAGCCCTTCCCTAGCACAGAGAAAACCTCTCTGTGAATCATCTCTGCTAGTTTATAGGGCTAGGGGGTGAGGAAGTAATGTTTTAGCTGTACCAGACAAATGATGAGTGATTGATGATCAGATACCACAGGGCAGCATTCTCCCCAGAGGTGCACAGCTGTGTCCCCATCACCTCTCAGGACCACAGGCAGAGAAACTTTGCTTGGCATAAAACATAAACTCACTGCCTCTTAGCGTGCCTGCTGGCTGCCAAATTTGTGCAAATTGACAATTTCTTGTGTTTTTAAGTAACAAGGCTTTTACCAAAAGCATTGAGATGGTTCTCTCAGTTCAACCTTGATGAGGTCTGCAGTAATTTCCCCTCCCTGCACCTCCCCTGTCTCTTCTAACATAGTTGTCTCTCCTCTTCCTAACTCATTGTGCCTTGAATTCCTTCTCAACCGCAATTTCCTGCACCATGCTGCAGAGTTAACAAAGGTGGCTTGATCTCTGCTACCTCTCATTTCTCTAGCAAGTCAGGTATTATCAAAGATATCATGTGATTTTAGCACGTCATCCCTCAGGCAGCCTCCCCTGCATTTTTCTCCCCTTTATTATGATGTATTCAGCTGTTTGTTTATCCTTCCACATTTGTTCTCTAACTTGGAGCATTATTGATCAGTAGACCTGTAGAAATAGGTTTGTGGTTGCTTAGCTCATTTGTTTGTTTGCTCTTCTCCCCATCCCCTCTTCCTCGTATAAACACAGATACTCCCTTTTCCTTATTGTATCATTCCCCCAGCTGACAGGTGCAGTAACAAGACGTGCTACTTGCCCTGCACTTTCTCATACTAGTCCTCCTCTCAGATGAGTATTCTCCTGCCTACTTCAGTTTGGCTCTATTAAACTCCTGGGATTTTGCTTTGGGCTCTTGCTCCCATACATCTGTCCTCTTGTCACCTCCTTGGGTGTTTAGTATCACCCCTATGTAGAACTGCCCCTTAAATGTCATCCTGTTCTTACCTCTTTTCTCCTCTGCCTTTTTTTTAATGTGACTAAAAATATTTGTTGTCTTATTATCTAACTCTCCTCAGTGTTCAGTGATTCCAGCTCTTCACTCCAATTTTCTTATCCCCAGGTATTGCTATTCTCTTCTGATTTGCCTTTCTCCCATTTCTAGGCCCTCTGTTCACTCCCAGCACCCTGTATTTGTAGCTGGCCAATAGATCCCCCAGCCCAGTCCTGGACCCCTCCTAAACTCTCTTTTCCCAGCTCCAAACACAGGTTTTCACACCAGCTTGTGCACTGCAACAGACCTTTCCTCCAAGCTGCCTTTGCAGTCACATCTATTGCTCTTTCAGTTTACTTGACTACTAAATATCCAAAATAAAAAATTCCCATTTGTAATTAAGAATCTTTGTCACTGTCTCCTTTTTCCGTGTCCATTTCAATTATGCTGAAATACTTTGGAGAAATCAAGGTTTCTTTCCACACACAGGCAGATTTTCCATGACATCTCTGCTAATATCCACACAGCTTCATTGCTCATTGGTTCAGTGCCTGTCTAATGAAGACATCCATCACTTAGCACATCCAGCCTGCCTGCAGGACTGCAAATGTTCCCACTGATTGCAAGGCCCGGTCTCATTCTAGGAAATTAAAGTCCCCAGTGATGACAGTGATTGCTAACCACCTCCAAGTCTTCCCTGGCACACGTCTGGAGCTACCTTGTTAGCTTTCTTTTCCTTCTCCCAAGCTTTTGATTTAAACAGTTTTTCATATTTTTATTTATTTTGGTTATGGCAGTGTTTATATAAAGTACTTACCAGTTCTATATCTTTCTTTCCTGAGTAGCAAATGTACTTCAAGATTTGTTTCAGTAATGACTATATTCTGCCATATCTACTATGCCTATGTCATTTTTGCATAATATATAAGTAATTTGAGATTTTTTTTGCCCGAACTCCTTGTACTAATACACAAACATCTGTGTTTTTTTTTTATGAAAATGTCAACAGTATGTTTAAATACAGTGTTTTCTGTGACTCTTGCTCACACCACCATTAGCGCTGTCTCTCCTCCTACACAGTGATATCATCTTTATGTATTATCTTTGTTTACCTGATGCTTTTCTTTTCTCCTAGCACATTATCCTAGCTCTGAAGATTATTTTCAGAGATCATCTCTGAAGATTATCTCCCTCCTGCCCCCAACATGCCAGACTTTTATAATGGGTTTTGAAGGGAAGTTTTCCTTCCATAGTTTCTGGGCTTGAGGTCAGTGCCAGTAAGACACATTGACGCTTTGTCTGAATAGATTTAGTACATACGTAAGCAGAGATACCTCAGTCCCAACAGGGCCCTGTGCAGCATTTTGAGGCAAATGGATCTGTGTACCTGCAGGAATTAGGTTCTGTGGCATTTCCCCCAGGGCACGGCTGGTGTCTGTGGCTTCAGACTGCCCCAAACATTTAGACTGCATAAAAAGAGTAGTGTGAGCTTCAGTAGCACCAGGAAAGCTCATGGCTCAGCATGGTTTCCCTCTATCATGGGCAGCTGTCAGCTCTTGGCTGACAAAACACAGCTCACCAGGACTGAGAAGTGGCCAAGCTGTCCGTGTCTGCCCTTTTGCAAGCCTGTTGTTGCCTTCTCTCTTGGTATTTCTTCCTGGAAACAAGCTGGGAGCTCTGAGGGAGCTGGGAAATGCTGACAAAAGCTGCAAGGAGCAGAAAAGGGGAGGGCAGCCTGCTGGACAAATAGCTTGGGCTTGGATGTACAGCCCAAAAGTGCCAGGCAACTGCTAAAGCTCTATGAAAAGTGACACTGCAGCAGTGTGGGGCAGCTTGGGCTGAAGGCAGGCAGGGCTTGGGCTAGAGGAAGGTTTAGACTTACCCTCCTCAGAGGTCGGTGGAACAAACTCAAGAATAACAAGGAGTGGGCACTCAGGTTGGCAGCCCTTCAGGCAGGCTGGACTGGCTTTCAGTAAAAGCTGCACATAGCTGTGAAGCATTTACATGGAAGTGCTAAGAGGAGGAATTTACCCCAAATCTGTGTTCCATCTTCATGAGCAATAAGAAGCTACACACCGACAGGATGACTTTGCCACCTGCAAGAAGCTGAAAATGTTGAACTGAAGGCAGAAAAAGGTTTGGAGACAGTTCCTGCATGGGTGCTTCTTGGAATGCCTGGCTTTTTTTCCTGGGGTCATTGCAGGAATTGCCTAATACACCAGAGATGTAACTGCACCATATTTAGCAAATTAGAGCAGTGTGAAGAGACAGTCAAAATCTCAGTAAGATAACGCTTCATCTTAGGAGACTAGAAATAGGAAGAAAAGTTCATGTATTTAGTGTGAAATGCAGTGGGTGACACAGCCCGTTTTCCTTCCTTCGCAGCAGAGATCCAAAGCAACACGTGCTGCAGCTTCACTCCTGTACATAATGTGACATGGTGGCTTTCCAAGAGGTGCATCCTGGTCTGCAGGCACCTCTAGGGATGCACAGTCCTTCCCCATTTTTCAGGTCATTTACTTGGTGACTCCTTTCCTGGGGTTCTGGGTTACATAACAACTGTCATGCCTTTCAGTGGGACACCTTTCTCTGCCTCTTTCCTCAGTGGAAATTTGCTCTTGTACTCATCCTTCTGCAGCAGGCAGGTACTGAGGTACTGCTCAGCACATAATTCTTCAGTCAATTGGTATTTATTAAAAGCTCTTGAAAGTAAATTCTCCCAAGGCAAATTCCAGTCTTACTGGAGTAAGAAGCCTGTCGTGTGGAGTCCCTTGGGCCTCAAAGTTTGCCTTTGATTTCCAGAATACTCCACAGCCTCCATCAGACCTAGAAACCGGTGCCTGTACTAATTCAGCTGCTTTTCTTGCTGTCTCTCCTCTGAGCCCACAGTCACTGCAGGCATGACAGCCCCAAGTGCTGTCTTGGTTTCTACTGGAAGACGGTACTTGCCATGTGGCTACACCCAGTCCCAGCAAACCCCACCACGGGCCGGCTCGGAGAGGTGTCAGACACGACCCAACAGCACCAAGCAAGGAAGACAACGTCCTGCAGAGTGAGGTGCCCTCACGGCCCCCCTGGTTGCTGTGCAGATGGGCACAGCCTCTGGCCGTGACTCACGGAGTGCAGTGTCATGCTTGGTGCAGTGTTGCAGCAATGCAGGAGTGCAGCCTCCCAGGCATTTCCAGTTTCACACGCTCTCCAGTCAGGTCCTGCAGTTAACTTCAGCTGCAGATCTGCAAGGAGGGACACAGGCACTGGCTCTTGCCCCAGCCCTGGGAAGAGCTGTGATTAAAAGCACATTGAGAAAAGATTTGAGCTGCAACACACTGTTTTGTCGATCAGCCTAGTTTTCCAATTACCTTTTTTTTTTTGCTTTCCATTTTGGAGCTGGAAATTGTTCATGGCTTGTGCCTCTACCTTTAATGTTTTAATAGTGATTTTAGATTTTATAGTAAAACTCATGAAAAGAAACTTCCTACTCAGGATACTCATCTTGCAGAACAAGAGACCGGGTTAAAGCATCTTTAACATTCCTCTGGCAGAGGACCTATATTGAAAAAAAAAAAAAAATGATAAGGAAGCAGTCTGGGCTATTTCTGCCGCCAGCAGCACTTTCTTTCCCACAAGAAAAGACATTTTCTTGTTCAGGCTCTGTCCTTCCATTGTAGAGGATGCCTTGAGGCAGCTCAGTTAGTCCAAGGTCGTTCAGATACCTATGAGAAGCAGGGCTCCTAAAATCGGGCATAAAAGCTTTTGCTAGCTGTGCAGGTACCTGCTCCTCCAAGCTTTCGGGTGTTTATATTAGCTCTATAATTTAACATTTTGAGGCATTAACTTTTTAGTGAAGCTGTTGTTTGAAAAGAGCAGATTTCATGTTGCCTATAAAGAATTTAGTGCAGTCGTAGTCTGTGCTGTGCAGACACTTAATCACCCATAGGTTTCCTGTGCGTGAGCAGTCCTATGGAGGCCAGCGGAGCTATTCACACAAGTAAAGTTAATTGCCCATTTTTTCTAGTGCTTGCCAAACCAAGGCTTTGATTCTCCCTGTTTCACAGTACATTTTTGCATCTGTGATATCCCTGTAAAACTCACACATGACAGTTTGCTAGCGGTGAAACAACTAGCCCTTATAATTCATTTCATTTGAACCGTCAGGGAACGGTTATAATAACACAGTTTTGGAATCAGTTTTACAGATTTCAAAACTGTTTTATATCAAGTTGGGTTTTTTGTTTAAGTGATTTATATTACTCAGTCATACTCAGTCATACCAAAACAGAACCACAAAAGAGCAGCCAGAGAAGAAGACCGACTTCTCCAAGGTCCCCACTGTTGCTCCTGGACCACCCCTCCCTAGACATTAATTGCACCTCCTAAAGTGACTGAAACAAGTTTCTGCCCCCATACCTGCTCCAGAAAGCTGCCACGTTTCCTCTGTGGGACTGTAGCAGCTCCAGGGATGCAGGGGGAGGTATCCAAGCTCCGTGATGCCACCAGCCCTCAAGGGAGCAAGCACCAGCCCCACCAGACAGGAGACCTACCAGCTTCCCCTGGCTCCCACTGCCAAATTTATAAGGTCTGTTACAGAAGTCTTGAGAAGAACAAGCTCCTCAAGATGGGAAGAGGTGAAGGAGCCAGCCACATGTGGGGGCAGAACCCTAAAAATGATTCCATGCCCTTCAGGAGGTAAATCAGGACATACCTGCCCTTTTCCAGGGTGGCCCTCCTGGGAGCAGTAGGAATTCCCACGAGGCTTTGTGAGGGTTGTTAGGGATGTTATGGGTGTCAGCTGCCTGGGAAGGGGTTCCCTCTTTGCAGGCCAGGAGGAGCTGCTAATTGCAATTATTTTCCGTGGCTGGGTACCTACTTCTATTCTAATGTGAACATTATCCTGGAAACTTAAACCTGGGGTTTATAGTATGGCTACAAGTGTTTATTTTCTGTGAAAATAAAGAACTCTTGAGTGCTCTAACAGCCCTCCTGGCTCTGCCCCCAGTGCAATGAAACAGTGGGTCTCCTCCCAGAGTAATGGTGCTGGGTTATTTCTCAGTAATCTGATTTGCTGCTATGTGAACATGGAACTGGAATCACATTTCTCTGTGGCTGCTCTAGAGTAATTTACAGTGTCGATGTAGGTGTTTGGCCAAAAAAAGAATTGCCTCCATTACTCTCTGACTGCCTTTAAGTAGCACCTAAGCTTTTTCTAAGGGTTTGGTGGTTTTGGGTTGCATGTAACTGTCATTAACAGAGAGCTTTTGGCCAAAAGAAATAACTTCTCCCCTCTCCTTGCTCACCCGAGGACTTGTATGAGACCAGATGGCCCCAGTGTTTGGGAGTGGGTTTTGGCACAGGAGACATTTTTGGAAGTTGGACTTTGCTAGGATGAAACGTAGCTGTTGCTGCTGTGTTGCAGCCAGCTCTGCTTCTTTTTTTCTTTTTAGGGCTCAAGTCATAGTGCTTTATTACACACTGAACAGATAGCATGCACAAACCACTATATGACAAGAGTGAGATAGCCCTGGCCCAAATAAATTACCGCATTTTCAATGCCCTGAAGATATCCATTTGTTTTTAAAGTGTATCTCCAGCTTCATAGAAAGAACAACAGTGCTACTTACTGCAATGTTATGTTCTCGTTTCTAATTCTGTAGGCGTGGGAGGCCGCGAGCTACTCTCCGAAATCTTGCAATAAAAGCTTGGTATGAGGAGGAGGGAATTTATACTGTGGAAAATGCCCAAGCTTTTCTGTGAGAAATGTATAGTGCTGATTTTTGCCTGAGAAATATCATTTGCTAGCCTCAGATGCAGGGCAGGGTTATTTGAAGGTCACATGTTCCCCAGGAGGGAACGTTTTGTGGAACTGCCCTAGATGTGCCCATCCCTGCCCCACAGAGGGGACAGCCCAGAAGTCACCGCAGGTGAGAGGAGGCTGCGGAGTTGGCAGGGGCCCGTCCCTATTGCATTTCTATACATAGATAGCTTCAACTTCCCATAGTAGCAGCCAGGTTTGCCATAGGCATCCTAGGAGAAGCAGATCTAGAGGCAGCTGAGCGACAGCGAGCCCAGGGCATTACCCAGAGGTAATATTGCCTGCAGGAGAGAAGGGCAGGGACATGCACAGAGCTACGGCGGTGACCAAGCCGTGCAGGGGAGCGCACCCTGTCCGCATGGACGAACCACTGCTGTGGATTGTGCGAGGGAAGAGCTCCCCTGCCAGGCTGCTGCTCAAGGATCCCAGTGAAGTGTCTGTTGGGAAGAGAGAGCCTCTCTGCAGGGAAGTCAAGGGTCCCAAAGCCCCCAGGGCAGTGACAGTTGTGCAGGAGCAGCACCCTGCATGCACAGAGGTATCGCGAGGGGAGACCCCAGGAAACTGGAGAAAAGCACAGAGAGGGAAAATTATAGGATGTGGTGTTCATGAGAGACTTTTATTTGTGTATTTTAAGCAAAACTAGAGGCTCAAACTTGTGTGCACCACTGAGCAGAACAGGAGTCACAGAAGCAGTAAGTAAATCAGTGCTATTAGTTGGCAGGTCCAAGAAGACACTTGAGCTGGAAACTCAGGAGTTATTCAAGATCTGGGAATTGGGTTCTAGTCAAGCTATTGAGTAGGAGCATAAATTAGAGCAGATGATAATGGAAGCGAGAAGCGGAGCAACTCTAAACAGCTTACAGAGAGCCAAACAGCCAAAAGCAAACAGTGATGTTTAAAGTATGCCACAAGCAAAAAGCCTGAGAATATGTCAGCACGTCTGCCAACTTATTGGGGACAAGTGAGAAAGCCAAAATTGTGATTGAGAAACACTGTGACTTCTGAGCAGAAGTCACCAACAGATCCCAAGAAGGTTCCGATCCCAGCTGGTTTGTTTAAGGTAATGGAGATGAAGCACTGTCGGGCAGGGTTTGGAGAAGGCACTCAGGTGGAAGCTGATCATTTGGAGTATTCAGCCTCTGCTTCCAGATGGTTCACCAAGGAGGTGAACCATCTGCTCAGGAGCTGAGCAGAAAGCTGCAAAGAAAAATGTGCAATTCTGCATTGAAAACAGCTGCCGTTTCAAGGAGCTAGAGGCTTTGCTTGTATTTTAAGACAAGATTTAGGCTCGGTCCAGACAGCAGTTGATAGAAGGATGTGGGGTGATCTATTGCTGGCAAGCTGATAGGAAAGATAGTTACCAGCAGAATGAGAAAACACTAGGAGAACAGGGCAAGCTGCTCCCAGGGACACTGCACTGGTGGTGAGGGTCTCACTGCCTCTTTGCTCTCTCCCCACAGGAAAGTCCCACCTGGCCATTGTGCAGCGGGTGAACAACGAAGGGGAAGGAGACCCGTTCTACGAGGTGATGGGCATTGTCACCTTGGAGGATGTCATTGAGGAGATCATCAAGTCCGAGATCCTGGATGAGACGGATCTGTACAGTTAGTGTCCGAGAGCAGCTACTGCTGGTGCAGGACCCAGGGTGGGAGCCCAGACAGAGAGGCAGACATGTGGGTAGGAAACAGGCTGGGGTAAATTATGGTCCTTCCCCAGAGCAATCCATGTTCGTGGTGGGACTGATGAGAATGATGGAGAGATGCTGGTCAGGTGTTTGGGAGCCTTGAAGGCTCAAACTAGAGAAGCACCAGCATCAGCAACCAATGGCTAGGGAGAGCCTGACCAGGGACGTGTGTGTTGGAAATGGTGTGCTCGCAGCTGGTTTCCAAGGTCCTTTCCAATCCTGGTGCTGCATCTAGCTAGAGCAATCCAGGAGCATGTTCCTGAGAAGGCAGCATGTTTAGCCATCCGGCTCCCTCCTGAAGCAGCTGTCACCATAACTGTGTGATGCACAACACGTTTTGTATGTCCTGCTGATGTGCATGATGTTCCCCTCTCTGCATGTGCACACGTGGATGTTGCCAGGGCCACGCTGTGGTGATGGCTTTGTGTCACGTAACCTCTGCTGCTCTCTGCCCCATAGCAGACAATCGGAAGAAGGAGCGGGTGCCCCACCGGGGGCGCAAGCCCCAGGACTTCTCCATCTTCAGACTCTCTGACAGTGAGATGAGGGTGAAGATCTCCCCCCAGCTCCTGCTGGCTACACATCGGTTTATGGCAACAGGTACCCCTGCCCTGGGAGAATAAATTCCCCGTGATCTATCCCTGGGCTGGGGCTCTGCTCCCAGCAGCTTTGCAGGTTCGTGCCCTGCTCCTGCCTCTGCTCAGCCAGTATGGGTCCACGTTTGGGCTGCCCTTTGGGCCATGGAGAAGAGGGCTCTGCAGCCTGGGAGGCTGCTCCCGACAAGCTCCCAGCAAGCTCCCCTTCTCCCGCAGCAAGCCGGGGTCCCAGCCCCTGTCCGGCAGGGCTGCGGGTGCCTTGCTGTTGAGCTGGAGCCCCTGGCCACGCTAAGCGAGGGTGTGTTGCCACCTTTCCAGAAGTCGAGCCTTTCAAGTCCCCCTACCTCTCCGAGAAGATCCTGCTGCGGCTCCTGAAACACCCCAATGTCATCCAGGAGCTCAAGTATGACCGAAAGAACAAGAAGGCCTTGGAGCATTACCTCTACCAGCGCAACCGCCCCGTCGACTACTTTGTTCTCATCCTGCAGGTGTGCGGGGGCACGGGCTGACAGGGCTGACCCTGGGGGACCAGGCACCCGGGGCTGTGTAGTTGGCGGCACGTGGAGGATCTCACCTTGCTGCATTGGTCTTGGTTGGTACTGCAGTGGGGAGATGGCCCCAGGTGGAGGCTGGTGTTGGCCAGCCCCAAGACCATATGTGGCATCGAAACGTGGGCCAGTTGGTTCAGGGGGAGGCTCCCCCAGGTTACAAAGGCAGAGTTGCCTTCTGGGCAGCTCTGTGGTGCTCTGTGATAACTTGCCAGTGTGGTTTGCTAGCACCTTGCCCTCATGCCAAGCCTCAGCCCTCCAGGGCTCCCTCAGTAACCCCAGCCACATTCCTCACCATTGCACTCCTGGACTGCTTGCTTCCCAGCTCTGCCCTCCCTACTTTGTATCCGGCTGGGATAATGGCCAAGTCACGGGTTTACAAAGCAAGCAGAAGCTCCCATCTTCTCCTAAATGGTGGTGGTGGTAGTAACTGCACATCTGCTCAGGGTGCAGGCCTGCAGCCCTGTGTGCTCGGGGGGGGGCAGGACCACGGGGCTGCCAGTCTAACTGGGCTTCCCTCGTCCTTCCAGGGAAAAGTGGAGGTGGAAGTTGGCAAGGAAGAGCTGCGTTTTGAGAATGGGGCATTCACCTACTACGGTGTCCCAGCCATCATGGCTGTCATCTCCTCGGGTGAGGGCAACGGCGCCTCAGCTCCATGGGCCGTGCTGGTGGGCCGGGCATGAGGACAGAGGGCAGGCGTGGAGCTGCCCGAGCCCATCGGGTGCTGGGCTGGGGACCAGCCTCACCAAGCCTTGCCCCTGCTGCCTCCTTCATGGATGTAGAGCTGGCTGGTGGCAGGGGAAGGGACTGAGCACAGCTGTGGGGCAGGATGGCCTTGCTGCGGTGGTCAGGGCCACGCAGGAGCCCTTTGGGTTGGGTGGTTATGGCTGGGCATCATATGTCGTGGGCCATGAGTACTAACGGGGCATTGCAGAGGGGGTGGCACCCTCCTGCCACATCCTGGGGGCATCTCGCCAGAGTGGGTAATGCAGGACCCTTCCTGAGCAACTCATGAGGCTTCAACTGTCATTTCAGATAATGACGTGCGGAAAGTGAGCAGCCTGGCTGGATCCTCCTTCCTGCGTAGGTAGCTAAGGGTCGGCTGGGGCTCTTACACCCCTCCTCCGCGCAGTGCCTCTCCTCTGCGGCACTGGCTGGGCTCCTCTGGGATCGCAAATGTGGCTCGATTCAGGTGTCAGCCAACATCACATGTCAGCATGCACATGGTGCTGTGGTAAAGTGGTGGGGATAACAGTAGGGCACCCCCAGCACAACCCAGGTAAATCTCCTGCCTGCACAGCTAACGAGTTAATGAAGAGATCCCCTGCTTGCAGTGGTTAACAGAGCTCTGAGCAGGGATAACCAGTTGTTGATTACCCCTACAAATGGTTAATCTCTGGTGACTTGGGAGCATGCATAAATGCCGCCTATGCGTGGCCCTGCGCGTCTCTTACTGCAGTCGCAGGCGCTGCAGTTGGAGCTGCAGTGCAGATGGCAAGTCAGGGATGATCTGCAGGGAGCTGCTCTGAGCACCCAATCCGAACAAGAAGCTGCCAAATTCAACCTGTCGGGAGGTGCAGGGAGGGACATCGCTGTCGAAACGGGGCGGTAGTGTCCTCCGGGCAGGGGACTGTAACTCCTGAGGGTCATGGTCAGTGTGCAGCTGCAGGTTTCATGTGTTTCTTGCTGCTTGCTTTGCTTTCATTAAAAAGCCGGCTCTGGTGCTGACGGGTCACACCTCCATGGTGAGCGTTTTGCTCCCCAAGGCACCTGCGGTGCCCTCAGTTTGGGCAGAGGAAAGCTGGCTTCCCGCGGCATGTCACTGCATGGCCCATGCCCCAGTGCCTTCTCAGGACTGTCTCCTGTCCAGGAGGAGGGTTGTGCCCATAGGCGGCAGGGGACTCCTGCACCCTCATGTGTGCTAGTGGTGCCACCTGCTGAGGCCCAGGGCTTCTTTTCTCCATGTGCTCCCGCATGATGTTGTGTCACAAGATGTTTTCTCCCATCCAGCCGCCTCTGCCTGTCGCAGGACATGTGTGTGTTGCTTGTGTGGTGTCACCCCTGAACAGCAAGGAGGCAGGGTGAGAGGCAGAGGTCCGCGGGGCGCTTACCTTATCGGGCTGGCGCTCCTCCTTTCTCCTTGAAGCAAAGCCCAGCAGCAATGAGTGTGAGTAGCACATCGCAGTGGAGAATTCAGACATTTAACTCTTGAGTACTAACAGCTTATTATTCATTAACCATTGCTATGTAACTTTTCTGTAGCCAGGCACTATTCGGTATCGGAGGCCAGGGTGACGCAGCGGAGCCCTGGCTGTCCTTGCGCGGCAGCCCCCGGGGAGCTCGGTGCAAAGCAGCACAGTGCAGGGGAAGGGCAAGCGTGCACGCTTATCGCTCTGTCCTTTGCTCCTGGCTGGACCAGGCTGTGCTGGGCAGCACTTCACATGGGTGCTTTTGCTTGGACTTTTGTTTGCAGAAAGTTTCATTCCAAGGGAGAACACAGCAGAGGAGATATCGGGGAAGGAGCACTGGGGGCAGAAGGAGGGGGCTGCAGGGCAAACTTTTAGAGAGGGAGGGTTATCTCCAAAGCAAGACCCCCACCAGTGTCCTGACGTCCTCCTGGTTTGGAGGAGAGCACAGCTGAGGGGCGAGCAGGGATCGGAGGAGGTGGAGATGAGGGTGCTGCTTACGCTTCGTGTCCGTCTCTCCGTGCTGCCCTGGTTGGTGTTGCTGAGAGCCCCAAATCCCCATCGCAAGTCCTGGGGGCATTGCAACCTGCTAACCACAGTGACCAGGAAGGGACTAGCCTCAAAACTGTCACTGCAGCTGCAAACCGTGGTAATCAATGGTGGAAAGTGAGAAAAGTGTCCAGCAGCTTGCATTCCCTGAGGGAAAGGTGCAGGCAGCCCTTGGCACCAGGTTCCAACATATTGCATGTGGCTCCAGCCCTTGCGGTGCCCCAGCCTCGCCCCTGGGGCCGCTCTGCTGGTCACCTGCGTGTGGAGGAGGGTCCTGGAGCCCCAAAGCACAGGGCTTTGCTTGCTTTAACTTGAGCCCTTTTCCCAGGAAACTTTCCCCATCCTCATACCTTGCCCCTCTCTTCCCTGTCCCTCTCTCCGTAGTGCCCGTCTCAGTGTCGCGCACGTTCGCCTTCAGCAGAGGGGACTCCCTGGCCGGCTCCCCAGGTAAAGGCGCACAGTTTGGGGAAGGGGCCAGACCCTGCTGGGCTGCAGCCCCAGTGCATGGGACCCTCTGCCTGTGCACACATCGGAGCCGGGTGCTCCCCAGCATCCCAGAAGGGGATGGGGATGAGGGGGAGCTGGAGGGAGGCCGGGGGAAACCGCTCTGCAGTGGGGTGCCGGTGAGCACGGCCCCAGCAGGGCACAGCCGTGGGAGCGCAACTGCTCCCCCTGCTCCTGGGGACCATGCGGCACCAGAAGTAAGAGCATGCGTTTTCCACTCTCTTTTCCATCTTTCCCCCTGCATCCTGCCTTCCTGCTATGGGCCCCATCG